AAAATCCAGACAGTGTAGCTTAGCTGGTTCTGTTTTAGGTTTCACAAGATTTAAATATCAGTATGGTTTCTGTTTGTTGAGAAGTGTTTCCAGGTTTACTCAGGGAGTTTGAGTTTAATCCTACACATCAGCAAGGCTGAGCTTCTAAAGGATAACTGCATTCCTTGGCTTCTGGCCTTTCACCTCTGTTATCAAAAGTCATAGATGAAGCACCAAATCTTTCTTATGATTTGACTAGCTCTGATTACTTCCTATCTTATATTTTTACTATTTTCCCCTCTTGTTCCATCTCTCTTTTTTTACAGCTAAACCTCTCTCTCTCTGGCCAGGGAAGTAGTTCAATTTGCTCCACTCAGATTATCCAGGAGAATTTTCCCCTTTAAAAGGTCTATAGCTTCAATTTATTCTGCAGATTTCCTTGATAGCAATACTTGGATTATTATTTTTGACTAGCCAGAGTTGAGAATCTTACAGGAATACTTTGAGAATCCTGCCTATTACAAGGTATGGAATATAATGTAAATGAGAACAAATCTGGAGAATAAGAGGCTAATACCGGAGCAATTTAGGTCAAACAACGTTCCAGAAAGAAAGGCTTACATGAAAGGAAATGAATATACACAGAGAAGGTTGGATGAAAGTCCAATTGGATATTTTTTTGGGGTGGTGGTGAGGTTCTTGAAAACCTGATTCCAAAGATAAGACAAATAGAAGGTAACGATAATGACAATTGACTATGGAAAGGCAAGCATATTAACTCTTTTTATGAGGCTAGCTAGGCTGCCGTTGATACTAAAAGCAGAGAAAGACAGTAACCAAAAACAAACAAACAAAAAACAAAACACAAAATTAAAAAACCCAAATAAACAAAACAAAACAAGTCCAGACCATTTGTGAAAGCTCTCCATATCTGAAGCAAAATAGCATATCAAATTCAGCAATATATAAAAAGGCATAGATCATCAGGAAAGAAAACCAAATTCAGAAGTTATTTCATACATATATGACTTTTTTGATTTATAAGCAAATGCTGTGGTTATACATGTCTCCCAAAGGTGCACGTTTTTAAGCTTGCTTACCAGACTGAGTTGCTGTTGGCAGGCAGTGGAGCCTTTCTGAAGAGAGTCCTAGTAGAAGGAAATGAGATCTGTTAAGCTATGCGCATCAAGAGTATCCTGGGAGGCCGGCACTGTCGCTTCTTCTCTTTTCTGCTTGCTTGCTACCACGAGGCAAGGTAAGCAGAATCTTCTACCGAACATTATTACTATGATGTGCCCTCTTGTCATAGGCTCAAAATGAAACACCAAAATTGTACCGCAGAGTGAGCAGTTCACCTCGTACTGCTGCTAATTTTCCCCATGGAGAGGAGGGTACAACTACAGTTCTCACCTTTTTTTCTAATTAAAAAATAAAGTTCCAGAGTGAAGGAAAGCAAAATAACATTTTAGAAAAATTTAAAAGTCTTAATGTAGAAGGGCAAGAAGAGATCTCTGAAGTAGGAAACAGGAATTACTAATAAAGGAAAAGACCAATAAATTGACTTCACTAGGAACTTTTCCCCATCAAAATATTAGGAGAGAGAAGACATACCTTAAAGTGGGAAAAACCACTTATTTCCCTAGTATATAATGCACTAGTACAAGTCAATAAGAAAAATATCAAAAAACACACCATACAAATAGGAAAACACTGAATAATGAGAAAACTTCCATGTGAAGGTGACAGGCTTTTCATTAAAAGAAAAAAAATTCGAGATAGAACATTTCTTTGGTTGGTGTACCATATCCATTAGAAGGGTGAAAATTGAAATATCTGAAAACATCAAGTGTTGGTGAGGGCAGGCTGCATTATGAGTTGCAGTGCCTTTACTATACCCACATTTTCTACTCTTTTGGAAACATAATGGACTAAATACACAAAACAAGGGCTTTTATAATAATATTTCCTTACCATCATTGCTCAGCATGCATCAAATTAGCATACCTTTAGATTGTATTACGTTAGACTGCTTGATTTCAAAAAATGCTGCTTGAATTGCTGGCTTAAGCATCAAAAAACTGTTAAATTTTGTCTTGGAATTAGGATAAAATTTCAAACAATATTGGAAATAGTCCTAAATATACTTCTGTCACTTTTCACTATATAGTTATCACAGCACTGATAATAAAAAAGAAAATCTGGATGAACTGAAAAATGTTGAAGCTATTCGCTAGCCTATTCAGAAGCTCTTCTCAACCTGTAGGTCAAGACTACCTACCAGGTGCTGAATGATCCTTTCATAGGGGTCACTTAAGACCATTGGAAAACAGATATTTACATTATGATTCATAACAGTAGCAAAATTACATAAGAAGTAGCAACAGAAATAATTTTGTGGTTGGATTGTTGATTTTTGTTGATGATCTAACAAATAAAGCTTGCCTGAGGATCAGAGTGAAGAGAGACACACTAGTTAGCCATAGATGCAGGGAGTGGTGGCCCACACCTTTAATCCTAGCACTCTGTTGAGGCAGATGGATCTCTATGAGTTCAAGGCCACCCTTAGCTACATGAGATTGAATCTGTCTCACACAAAGGTGATCTCTGCACTTGGGATCCACACCTTTAATCCCAGCTCTAGGGAGGTGGAGACAGGAGATATGGCTGGGCAGAGAGAAGAATGTAGGGTGGGAGGAGACAAGAGACAGATGCAGTCTGAGGAAAGGGTCACCCCTTAGTCTGAGTATTGGTAGAGGTAAGAACTCTAGTGGCTGGCTGCTCTGCTTCTCTGATCCTTCAACTTTCACCCCTAAGAGCTGACTCTGAGTTTTTGTTAGGCCAATTAGAATTCATGCTACAGTTGTGGGTCACCACAACATGAGAAACTGTGTTAAAGGGTCACAGAATTAAAGAAGGCTGAGAACCACCATTCTATAGTATAAAATACCTAGCCAAGATTTAAAAATAAACAAAGCACAATCATCTCATTTAGTGTACATAGTCTTTTTTGTTTTGTTTTTTTTGAGACAATGTTTTTCTGTGTAACAGCTCTGGCTGTCCTGGAATTCACTCTGTAGACCAGGCTGGCCTCATACTCAGAGATCCACTTGATTGCCTCCGGAGTGCTGGGATTAAAGGCATGCACCACCACCGCCTGGCTTCAATTTTATATTTAATGAATGGTAAATTATATGTATCTTAAGAAATCATTTTAAAATAAAATTTCTTTAAGGCTTACTATCAGTAAATGATTTGTATATCTATTCAACACACCTATATACTCAAGGTTGCGTAAAAGCTCCTCCGTTACAAAGAGATCACAAGTGGAAAAATAGGGTACTTTTAAATGTGTGAACATGATCCTTTATGACAGAATGGCTGGTAATAGCCTAAAGCAAGAAATAGCTTATATGTTCATTGACAGCTAAAAAGTGTTATAGTACATCTAGGGACTATAGCAATCATCAATGGAAGTCAATAAACTGTAGCAATATCAACAGAAGTTCAGCAAAACCTTCAAGACATGCTAAAACAATCTTATTTTGATGCCACTTACCTAAAAACCAGAGATTGCACTATAATTTAAGACTGAGTTATTAGGCAGCAAAACTAGGCATCCTAGGGTTCCAAGAAGGGGCACACTGAGGCTTTCTGGAGTAGTGATAATTCATTTCTAGACTTAGATTTGTTGTTTGAGCATCTGTATTATTAGGTCAACAGTACATTGTTTTATGCCATTTTCTGTATGTGGGCCATGACAAAACATAACTCTAATCTTTCTTAGTCTTAATACTTGCTTGTTTTATTACTAGTCAGAAGCATCTACGGTCCTGTCCAAAGACGTTAGAGCTGTTACAAGAATATGTCTCCATGATCTACAACTTATTTTGTGTCTAAGAAGTTTTAGCCACTGAAATCCCTTATCTGCATAAAAACAAAACCTCCTAAAAACTGACATTCCTCTCAGATAGCTGTTCTAATAATACTCCCTTTCAAGAGATATTGGTATCACAGTCAGACTCTGCTACTAGATAGCTTATTTCTCATCTACCTTATGTGCCCATCATCTTTTTAAAGGTTATTTTCCTCGCCCAGATCATCTTTCTAAACCTTCCCTTCTCTGAAGATATATCTGTTCTTCCACAGATGCCCCACTTAAGATGACATATAAACCCCAAGTTTTAACCACCTTTTTGAGTCATACTTCTTTATGAATTCCCCCTTTTTCTATATTCACATGTAAGTTTTAAAACTTTTATCAATATACATCCTTCAGTCTAATACTCAGGAATATAAAAAAAGGAGGCAGATGAATACTTTTTTTTGGATGTAGCTCAATTTAAATTTCCAAAGTAGGTTCTTAAGAATAAGAAAAAAATAATGCTGAGTAAAACATTGTTTGATATTTCCCTTCTATCCCCCTGGCCAGTGAAAAAGACTGCACAATACTTTGAGGGGAGTGAAAGACAAGGTTTTGGAGCACAATATCTAAGAAAATTCTATGGTTATGGAGGTAAGGGTGGGCTTTGATGCAAGTAGCATAAAAAAGTTATCTAAGTGGGCTGAGGGCCATTTCTGTGAACAGGGCAGGAGTCTCAGGCTAAGAGTCAGGAAAGTTATCCATGTAGCTTGCAAGGTCTACTTTCCTCAGAACTGCCTACCGTGGAGGAGCTAGGCCACCACCATCAAAGATGATGGGTAAAGCCTTATACAACTGAGATGATACTGTGCTCAATTCTATTTTTTTCTTGTTCTTCTAATTTCTAGTCGTTTTAGTTTGCAGGGTCCAAAAATCTGTATTTTAAAAAATTATTTATTTATTCTGAAGGGTAGAATGTTTATGACACAAACACCACCCTTGAGGTAAATATAATACTAGTTGTTTATAGTGTGTTATGAAATATATAAGCAGAGATAATGTTTAGTATTTCTATGAGGCCAAGAATATTTGTGATGATATATTGTTTATGTTTTATTAAAGTTCACGCGAGGACTCAGAAAGCAAAGTCAGCCACAAACCATAGAAGCTAGGCACACTCCTTTAATCACACTGAGGAAAGGTTACAGTCAGAAGCTTGGTGATAGCTCATGGAGCCTGGATCATCCTATTCAGTCTGAGGTAGAGGTAAGAAGCTAGAGGCCAGCTGCTTTACTTTTCTGATATTTAGCTTGAAGCTTGAACCCCAAATCAGTCTCTAGGTCATTCATTTTTCATGTTACAAATATTTATCAGTCTAGTTCTTATGCCAGAGGAAGTCACTAAGACAAAGGAAAGGATAAAAATCAAATCCTTTATGAATTTAAATTTGTAAATTCCAAACAAATCATTACCAAATAGTACCAACTATGTACAAGGAAATACATAGATAAGCCAATCTCTTCTCACTGTGCAAGTCTGTTTCATTCTCCAAAAATCAACTAAGTAATCTATCACAGTAACACAGTAATGAGGAAAACCATGTAATGAGGTAAATACACATAGGATAATATTGACAGAACAGAATAGCCACTTGCAACAAAACAGTTTTCTAAATTCCATAGAGAAAATTATACAGGAATTGGTACTATAACTCAGAGATAAATTGCATACTGTCATTTTTGAGGACTTGTATCTTCAACAATGCAAAACATGCCAAGAAACAAAAGCAAAAGAGTGTAAAGAGAGAGAGAGAGAAATGGCTGTAACTTCTTAATTCCATTTTATTTGTCTATTTACTTATTTTAATATATAATGAATGGAAGCTAGGTCCTAGTGCATGCTAGGCAAGTGATGAACCAATGGGCTACATTCCCAGTATCTCTATAGCTGATTTCTTTTATTGAAAAATAGATTTTTCCATTCAATATAGCTTTATTACCATTTTCCTTCCCTCCACTTCTCTCTGTACCTCCCTACTTTTCTTCCCATCTAGATCCAACCCCTTTTTTCCCTCTCATTAGAAAACAAATAGGTGGGGTCTAGAGTGATGGCTCAGTGGTTAAGAGTACTAGCTGCTCTTCCAGGGAACCTGGGTTCAATTTCCAGCATCCACATGCTCACAACTGTCTTGTAATTCCAGTTCCAAGGGATCTGACACCTTCACATGCAGACAAAATACCAAAGTACATTAAAATAGTGATTTTTCTCTTTTCTCAAAGGAGAAAACAAACAGGCGTCTAAGTGGTAAAAAAAATATAGGATGAAAGAAAACCAAACACATTGGAGCAGAACAAAACAAACAGCAGGAGAAAAGTCCAAAAAAAAAGGCACAAGAAATATATAGATGCAGAAACATACTTGTTTGAATACTCAGGAATCCCATAAAACCACAAGTTTTGAATCTCTAAGGGGAAAAAGAAGAAAAGAAAAAGCCCATACATGACATTATGAAGCAAGGAACCTTGAAAGATATCACTGGGTTTGTTTCTGTTGGCCATTTACTGTTGGGCATGCGGCCTACCGTTAAGTGTAGTTCATTTCCCTACTGGGTGAGAAAAGTCTTTAAGAAGTACCTTAGAGATTCTCATGCAGGTAGTCTCTGGCACTATAGTACCATGGCCTGAATAAGCTTAGTAATTAAAAGGATCAACAGTGACACTTAATTAAAACTACAAATTTCAGGCCCCACAAGAGACAAGTATTTCTAAGGGGGATCCTGAGAACTTGGATTTTTAACAAGGGCCCCTGGTGAATCTCAGGGAAATCTGTCACATGGCTGTGGTGACTTCTACTTTGTACTTTCTGTTCTAAATGTAAAGACAAAATAGCTTACTTAGAGTAAGGGCAGCTTCATTGGAAAGAAACTGGCTACCCTGCAGACTTTTTGGTGTTTCAAACCTATAAATCCAACTGTTTACACTTCCCCTGGAAGTTATAAAAACATCCTAAACTCTTTGTTCAAGTTAAAAACCCCACTTTCCTCTAATCCTGGCTCTTTCCCAGGGTTCTCCATATCTCAATGGCATTAGAAGTGATCTAATGGGGCCACCAGAAATCTCTAGTTATTTTTAATCTCTCTCTCCTTAAATCTTGGTCTGTCACCAAGACCTTTCATTTACTTTCTCATTGGTTCCATTTGCCCTACTTATTCCCATTTCCTCCTTCTTATCTCATTCACTTGAACTTTGTCCAACTTCGCCCATCACTTGCATACCCTGGCTGGCCGGTGTTGACCATGTTTGTGCTTCCACACTGTAGCTGAGTGATTTTGTTCTCATCCTACCAAACCTTCTGTCGTCTCAAGGAAAGGATTGACTTACTTAAAACACAAGGTCAGAAAAAAGATCTTTTAGTGTGGTGCCCAGTTTCACACTGTCACTGTCTCCTTGTAGTCTGTGATCCAGTCACAATGGCCTCTTTTTAGTCTCTTAGTCTTGCAATGCCTGCTTCTAACAAAAGGCCTTTACATACGACATTCCTTGTGTTTTCCCACAGTTATGCTTCTTATTCTTCGGATCTAATTTGAGTGTGACTTCCTTAAGGAAGCTTTAACACCTCTGACCAGACTGATGAATGTGCCTCCTGTGTTCATAACACATTGAACTTTTTGACTGAATTACCTCACTTTATGATTCCATCAGCTTGAACAGTTTGTTTCCTCTCCCAAAGTATTCTCTGGACTTCACTTCCTTAGATGCAGTCCTGTGAAGTTTAGGCTTAGTAGGAAGCCATTCTTTTGAGACCTGGATTTGCTAAAGCAGCCGTTTCACGGGCTTACCAATATCATCCCTGGCTCCTGGGCTATGTTGAACACAGGTTTATACAGCAACACTTAACTTGCTTTAGTACAGCTATTTTATGTTTCCTTATACTTAACACAGGGTCTTTTTGTAGTCTGTTGTTTAGCAATATATCTCATGTTGAGTTCTTTGCTTGACTTCCCTCACTGTCCCTTGACAAACTTCCTTTCACTCCCCTTTTCATTTCTCTCATGGTACTGAGGACTGAACCCAGGGCTTTGTACACACTAGATATGTGCACTGTCACTGAGCACTGAGCACTCAGTGCAGATCTTATCTTCCATATATAAGAGAAAATGGTACAGTGCTATCTTTAACAGTGTACATGGCTTTCTACTTGGTTTCCTTATTTGAAAACTACTTACCTTGAAAGATTTGGGGAATACTTTTAGAGTTTATGCTTTCCTTTAAATGTGGCCAGGTTAAGTCTTTTCCTAACATAATCCCCCTAGGAAATTTTCTCTCAGGATCAGACTTTCAGACTCTCTTGTATCCAGCTAGCTTGTTTCTGTCTCGCTGTCCTGTTTTATTTTGAAACTCCCTTTATGACAGACCTTGATGGCTCAATGAAAAACCAGAGGACAAAATATTAGCTAGTCAAACATGTTCTTTCCTGTTCACTTGAGGAAGGATCCGTCTGAGATAAGACGCAGTTGCATAGCAGCACACGATTTAAATACATAGAAACTTCAAAGGCTATGAAGTAAAATGGTAAAATTTCCAAATCAAAACCAGTGAAATGGGTGTTCATTTTCTTCTAAATTTGTGAGGTGACTCACAATGCACATTGAAGCTTATCTCTCTCCTCCAATTCTTTTTAAAGAGCTGTAATTGAAGATTTTAGCATTTTATCATTTTACAAATGACATACTAAATCTACGTTGTCTTCTCCTTCTTTGCCCATCATTGTAAACATAGCATACTGTATCTATTATGCTTTGAAAATCAGAGAGATTTTCTTTAGTAAAGTAGAACCCATAAAAATGATTGCACACAGGATAAAACATAAAATTTGTTGAAGTTTCCCTTCTTGTTAAGCATTCACATTCAAGTGTCGTTTATTATTGATACTTGTAGTTGACTAGGAAACTTAACAGTCTTTAGGCAGTCTTCAAATCTCAGGGAAATACAGCACGATGGCTTTATGCAGGCCCAGTTATTCAGAGTTTTTGGTGAGTGTTCTTGAGGTTAGGAGTGTATAAAGATGGAAAGGTCAACCTTTGTTGCTACCCACAGATTTGAAAAGGACATCCTTCGCATCTGTAGCTCATGTCACTCTGATGAGGTAACCGCCCAGTCATCAAAGGACCCTTTTTGACGTCCGAGAGCAACGAAAGCCTCAAGCCCTCATAGGGTCTATGTCTCACTAGCTTGGCTGGGATTGACCTCTTCTGAGCTATGTAGCCTAAACCTTTTTTGCTGTCTCCTGGATGACAGCTGATCTGGGACCTCAGGTAACCCGCTCTTTTTTCAGACACCCCTAGTCTAGACCGTCAGTGGCCCTCCTCTTTGTCCTCTCCACTCTTCCCTCTTGCTCAGAAAGTCTGGGACACTCAGGATCAGTTTCTTTCCCCGGCGAGACCTGGGGGAGGGGGAACGTTGTTCAAAAGGACGCAAAGGAAGAATAAGAATCAAACGCTAGTCATCGGAACAGCTGTAACTTGCTGTGACCTAAGGGCCGTCATCCTACACTGTCAGCGGAAGATACGCAGCCTGAATCCTCAGGCCAAACGCGTCGCTCAGAGGCACCAACGGCTGGGCGGGCCGGGTCACGTGACGGGGGAGCGGCGCGCGCCGGCCGCGGCGCCCATTGGCTGGCGGCGGGAGCGCGGGGTTTGATGGGAAGGCATTGGCCGGGCCCGGCGCTCTATCAGTAGCTGCTGCTGCCTGCTCCAGGGGCGGGCTGCGCTGCGGCGACCCGGGCTTGCCGGAGCTGACGCCGGGGCCGGGGTCGGGGCCGGGGCCGGGGCCGGGCGGCTCCCGCTTTCCTCAGGTAGGACGGTGAGGGGGAGGGCCGCGTAGACGGAGGCGCTGTGGGCCTCGGGAACCAGTCCCCGGGTTCCTCTGCTCGCCGGCCCGAGTGCCTCCGCCCATGCCAAGTGGCCTAGGGCTCGGCGGCGGCTGGGGACACGCGGCCGGGCGGAGCCCCCGCACTCGGATGCCACCTTCTCGGGTGGATTGCCCAGCACAGCTGCCCGAGCGGCTCCGGGGTGCACGAGACCCGGCTCTGCCTCCCCCAGGCCGGTGTTCTCCCGGCCGTGTCCTCAGGAATTCCGTGCTGTGGTTGTTTGGAGCCCAAACCCATGGCCCCACCTGGGTTGAGAACTGCCCGAAGGTCCCAGAAAGCACATCCCTAGCTGAAATAGCCACCCTGAGTGCTCGGATCACCCCCGCGTCAACTCTAGCTGGCCAGATGGGAAGGACTGAAAACTGTCAGTGTCATGCTGCTCAGTCCGCGTGTGGGCGTGGGCTGTGAGCGACTTAGAGGAGCAGCTCCACGACCATTGTCCTTATTTGTTAAGAGGGACAGTGGCCGGCCTGGGTGGAGAGGGAGGGTGAAGATAAGTGGTGTTAGGGGCGGTCTGGCAAAGTGACTCCAAAAGGACATCAGTAGGTTTAATCCTTTGATGCGTTTTTGGACGCAGAGTTTGGATTGGTGAATTTAAGTTTTGTGTGCAGTTGTGAGCAACACCTGTGACTCATTGAGTTTTCCATGCTCTGCTCTTCCTTTTTGGCTTCTGGTTTGTTGTGGTTAGAGTCTGTTGTTTTCTGTCTCAGTGACCTCGGTGTCAGCGTTGACAAAATTGTCTAGAGGTGTAATGGATTGTGAGTAAATTCAGTTTCAGGCATATGTTGAAGCTGGCAGACAGGACTAATTCCTAGTTCCCAAAGGTCTCCTTAGTGTCTTAGGGAAACGGAGTTGATTTTGAGTGCATCTTCTTAAACAAGAGTGGTTCATTTAAACGTAGAGTTTTAAAAAAAGTTCCTTGACATCTGTTGTCAGCAAAGTAGTGCTGTTAATAACGTGTATAGTGTTTATATGTTGGAAGAATGCAAGGAAGGACAGGTGACTATCATATAGAAATCTCCCTGTATTTCTCTCTCTCTCTCTCTCTCTCTCTCTCTCTCTCTCTCTCTCTCTCTCTCTCTCTCTCTCTCTCTCTCGGCAGTCATCTCACACATCTAAAGTACTTTTTTAGAGGTGTGCTTCTTTTCATTTATTTTTGGACAAAAAACCTGTTGTAAGACATTTCAGAATTGCCTGTTTGGATATTTGAAAGCAATTTTGAACAAATTACATTTAATTCTAAATTGTATAGTATAACATGGAAGTTCTGTTGAAGATGAGTAGTTTATATTTAAGTTTGGAACTTAACCTCAAAACTCTCTTGTTGTTTGCAACGAAGGCATACAAGTTTATTATAATGAAGAATATTCTTTATTTCCATGCTAGAGTAAATGAGAAAAATATTTTCAGTAAAGATACAAACTTATTTTTAAACATTTTAAGTTATGGAATAAGTGCTCATTTTATGAAAAGTTAGGCATGTGTTTCATTTAAATGTTATACGTGAGTTTTTTTTTTTTTGCTAATAGCAGTAGTAATGGCTACCATTTATTAAACACTATGCCAAACACTAAGGGATAAATAATTTCGATTAATATATCATTCCATGAACTGTAAATATTTTCGCTGCTTTATAAACCAAGACTTAGAAATTTAAGTAATTTACCCAAGATCATATAGCTAGTATATGTTTGAGCCATGTTTTGGGGTATTATCCTATGGTTTTCATGTGATTTCAAATGCATTGAGAACTCAAGAAAGACATTTAAGATTTTAAGTTCTGTCACTTAAACCTGAGTGTGGCTAACAATAGAAAGTATCATGTAATTTGGTAGGCATTGTTGCTTATTGAGAAAGCACACTTAGGGACTTGGAGAGATGGCTTAGAGGATGGGACCAGTCAGAGCACCCACATGGTGGTTCACAGCCATCTGTAAGTCTAGTTCTGCGGTGTCTAACATCTTCTCTGACTTCTCTGGGCACAAGGCACACATATGGTGCACATATACATGCAAGAAAAACACTCATACAAATAAAGTTAAGTAAATGTTCAAAAAAATAAAACACATTTAGTTGCCTCAATCCTTAAAGTTGTATATACCAAGTCCTATTGTGACATCAGAGTTAGAAAGAGACATAGAGATTGGGGACAAGCCATTTTTTAAAATGGTGCTGAGAATTGAGCCCAGGACTCCACATGTAATGGCAAGTGAGTGATTTATGCTTTACAAAGAAAGGCTAAAGTTACTTGGCAAGAAAGTAGAGATGAATTAGAAAACTGCAATGACTACAGCAAGAGAAACAATTTCTTCTGAGTAATTGCCATGTTATCAGGAGTAAATAGTCTAGGGCATGTTATTTAAGCCTTTCACCTTTTAAGAGGATTCTAAGTGTCCCTCCTTTGCAGATGAGGAAGTTGAGAAGTGTTGATGTTTAAGTTATTTGCTCATATTTTCACAGTAAACAATGGGCAATCAGAATTGGAGTTAAAATGTCCAGGTGGAAAGGACAGAAGCTGTGGATGAGATAGAAAAATGAACTTAAACTGTAGAAAATAGTAATCATTTTGTGTTTAATATCTGTTAAAACTACTATCATATGTGCATATCATTTGTAGTAAATCAGTTTAATAAAACTAGAATTTGATAGAAAAAAATTCTGAATCAATAAGAATTGATTCTTTGCTTAATGAATATGAAAGCATGGATTTAATGACTATCACTAATATTTCAGAGGATAAATTTAAAAGCACAACTTCTTGCTTCAGGGAGACTGGAGACTAACCCATAGTTTGTTTCTTTAACACAAAACATTCTCCAAACCAATAATTGCTATAAAAAAGATATTTATTGTGAATCATGAGTATAGTTCGTATACTCATTCAAAAGGTAATATACGGTAACAACTGTTTTAGGCCAGTTGCTCTAAAAGTTCTAACTGGAGTCCTAGAAATTTAACAAGCCATTTAACTTCTATCTAATGCAGATTTTAGCTCTCAAATTTAATCAGATTAAGGAATTGGGCTACCTGATACATTGCCATAAATACTGTCTCTTGTGTTTATAACTCAATTTCAGTTTTAGCAGCTCTGCTTATCAACTAGTTAAGAAGGTCAGAGGTATCTTCATATATTTGATTTCACTTTGTTTTTATTTTTATTTTTTAAAAGGGTGCTGAGAATTGAGCCCAGGACTCCACATGTACTAGGCAAATGCTCTACTTCTGATATGTATCCTCAGCTATCTGTATCTTATACACAGATATTCCAGTCCATATGGATATATTCTAGCCTACACTTATAAGTATTCTCCATTTCTGATTTTATGCTGTTGGGAATAACTGGTTGCATTAAAAAATCAAAACTAAAATGCAATGTTTTGTTTTGCTGCTTAATATCTTTGGACCTTAACATACTACTTTTCTAGTCTCAGGGTCTTAACTTGTGAAGTGGAGGAATAGTATCTAAGTAATAAAATTCTTGCCAGCCATCTGTCATAGGGCTCCTTAGTGGTAAGTGTGTGTAACTGATGTTGTTACTAATTTCAAACAGTAAAGAGTACTGTTCAAACAGTAAACATCTAAGCCAGGCAGGGCATGATAGTGCAAGTTTGTAATGCCAGTACTCAGGAGGCTGAGGCAGGAAGGTAGGAATTGAGGGTAGTCTAGACTATATAGGGAGACCTGTCTCAAAATATCTTATCAAAACAGAAAATTTGGTCTCAAGGTGTTATGGCTACAAACTTGACTTGGAAGGATATAGTTCTTTAGATACAGTTTCGAAATAGTGGAGTGATGTGTAATTTGAGAATATCAAATTAAGTAGTTGATCTGAATATGTTTCCTTCTGCCTTGGTGACTATTTTTATATTAAGAAGGTTTTAAGGTTTGTTTAATATCATGTCTCAGAAATGTGTTCTTTTATACATTAGAGCTCCAGAATACCTCACAATCACATTTTATAATTTTGAATACTGAGCTAATATTGCATGATTAATATTATTTGGTTTGCAACTTAATTGTAGTTTATAAAATTGTTTGTATGCTTTAGAATGTCATAGAACAGTTAATATTTTTGTCCTGAAGAGTGACTTTGTAAATGAAAGTACTTTATAATAAGGCATCCATTACTTTCTAAGAAAAGAAAACTCTTAAAATAGGTATGCCTTGAGTCAATTCTGATATATAAATAGTATTGAAGTTCTTACTGGGTACTGATAATTACTTTTTAAGGTTAAGATGTGGGGGACATACCTATGAAAAAAAGTGTGTGTGCACATGTGTATAAATGAAGTAGTTTCACACACTGATAAGCATATACTTATAACCTGATAAAAACATGCCAATTTGAAGGTATAATTTTACCATTTCAACGTAAAAGAGTAAGAAATTCTATAGTGATTATCTGTTAAATTGATTTACGATATTATCATTTATGAGTCTTTATACAACATTTGAGAATCCTAGATAAACAAAGGGAATTCACAGCTAGCTGAAATGAAGGTCATCTAGCGTGAGGTCTTAGGCTTTTAGTAGCACATGTTTAACTGGGTATTGAACAGTAGTGTTTTTAGAAACAGGAGCCAGAAGTCTGAAGATAGAGGAACTTTATGGTATGTTTCTTATGTGCTATCAGACAAATCACTGACTGTTGTCATGGAGTTTTCTTATCTCCAAGGTGATTACACTAAAGGCTGTTTTGTGGCAGAATATTGACATTATTCACTTTAATTAACAAAGTAATTAAGGCTCAAACTATTGAAGGATTCATTCTTGTATAACACGAATAACATAGGGAAACTTCTTTAAAAATAGAAAGCCTCTATATATGTGTATACTTCTAAAGTAATTTGTCATTAAAAATTTCCAGCACTATTTTTACCTTTAAATATGTCCTCTCTTTGAATATACCAGTGGCTATCTGGATTAAAGTTTATTTAAATGGAGGCCAAAAAAATCCTTTATGGTATTTTAATGTAGTATTGCAATATAAAATTTTTTGACAGAATGTGCTGTTTACTGAAAAATTTAAAATATTTGCTTTATTTTTAGCTGTTTCTTTTGGACAACCCATGATATTTATTATCGTGCCAAGTTTCTACAAATAAAAGATGGGTGGATTATTTTCTCGATGGAGGGTAAGAAAACATTTCGGTATTGCAAGTTTTCAAGTCTAACATAAAAATGTTACATAAAGTTTTTTGTGAAGGTCTCCTTTGGGGTTTACTTTTCAGTGAGTTTTTGTTTTGTATTACATATTTTATTTCATTTATCTCCATTTAGAGTTACTTCTTTGGACATTATTTTGGTAGTCCTGTTATTTTATGGCTATCTAATTTATGTATTTTATGCATATAGTTTTCTTCTCATATTGCCCAAGTTCCATGTATATTCTAACAGTAGTTGAATTTAAAAGTTTTTTTTACCATATTTATGTTTTTTATAGACTATATAATCTATTTAAATTTATTTATTTATCTGCCTATTTATTTTGGAGACAGACTTTTCATTGTGCAGCCTTGAACTCATAGGAATTTGCCCTGCCCCTGCTTCCTTAGTGCAGACTCAAGGAATTGAATTTTTTTTAGCATGTCACATGAATTTACTGATGTCACACTAAATACACTTTTAAGAGTTATAGGTTGAACAAAATTAAAAATGAAGATTTTATTACTTAAGTCTTTATAGAAAGTATCTCAAATTTAGAGATATAAAGTTTAAACTATATTGATAAATACTTCTTAATGTAAGAAATAATATAGGCTAGGACAAACTAGGTTCCTCATTCCTTATAATAATGGATCATGATATATGATTTAGCTTTTGACTCACTAGATTAATCCATGTTTTAGATTTGTGTTATATTGACTTCCTCTTTTTTAAAAATCCACAGGTAAAATTGTATGCATTCATTATAAACATGTTGTTTTAAAGTGTGTACATTACATTGTTTAGATCTAGCTAATTAACATATGCATTAACTCACATTGTAAATGGAGTTCTTAACTGGTCCAAGTAATAAAAACCCCAGGTAGAAAAAAATGCTGAGAGATCAGAGAGAAGGAGCAAACCACTGCTACACCTTACCTCCTTCGTGTCTCAGCAGACAAGACACAAGTTCCTGTTTCTCCCTGCTTATATCCTGTTTCCGCCCAGCTAGCTCACTTCCTGGCTGTACAGACCTCCATACCTCTATGTTTAGCTAGTGGCAAGCTCCATTCTGTGACCTTCAGACAGGCTTTATTTGTACAAGCAAGATATCACCACATCACATAATTATACTTTTTGTAGTGAAAAACTTAACATCCCCTCTGTTAGCATTTTTCAAGAATATAGTATATCAGGACTAGAGAGACGGCTAAGAGTACCTGTTGCTCTTGCAAAGACCCTGAGTTCAGTTCCTAGTACCTCAGTCATGTCATTCACAAACTGCCTGGAATTCCGTTTCAGTGATGTGGCACTTTTGGCTTCCCGTGACACCTGTACTCATGTGCATATGTGTAGACACATGCATATGTGCATATTTAAAACTGCAATAAACTTTTCTGAAAAATCTCAGTATAAGATATAGTACATCACTGTAAGCTGTAATCACCATGCTGTATGGATTTGTAGAATTTATTTTATATGTAGTTTTATATTCTTTGACCCCCTAATCTTTCAACTCTTTAATTCTCTACCTCCAATTTCCCTAGATGGTAGCCTTTTATTTTCTACTTCTGTGGGGTCACCTCTTTTTTTTCATTCCATAGATGAATGAAATGACCTTTCTTTAAAAATTTATGATAGGTTGAGAATCTTATTTCTTTGTTTTTCTTATTTGGTTGACTTATATGAAGTTGCCAGTATTTTGCTTTGACATAAAAAAATGGCAATTTTGTATGGTTAAACCTTATGTTAACAACTCTTGTAGGTACTATAGCATTGACATTTGTTACTGTCTTGATAAATATTTTCTCAGTTGTCATTTGAAGCATTCTGGCTTATAGAAAATACCTTTGGCAAATAATCTCTGCTTTTGTAAAATATTCTTAGATATTCTTTAAAAATCTTTACAAAGCTGTGTACTTGCAGCTGAAGAGATGGCTCAGAGGTTAAGAGCACTAGTTGCTCTTCCAGAGGACTCTGGCTCAATTTCCAGAACCCATATGGTGACTCACAACTGTCTATAACTTCAATTCCAGGAGATGCAGTGCCATTTTCTGACATCTTTGGGATCCAGAGATACATGCGGCATACAGACATACATTCAGGCACACAACTATACACATTTCAAACAAAACAAAACAAGCAAACAACCCTCCCAAAACTGTGTGCTTTAGGAATCAGAATAAATGAAGGCTATGGGTTTTGACCTCCAGAGCCTTGCGCTTCAGTGCTGCAGTTAGTGTGGTACTTACACAGAGCCCAAGGTGAACTTTAGCATTGCGAATTAGACTATCTTTAGTCAGTATATTTTGATATGAAAATTTCTTTCTTTCTATAAAAGTCTGTTGAGGTTAAGAATGGTAAAAGTAGAGTTATCACAGTTGAAAGTTAGAGAAAAAGTATTAAGAATTCTAGCTGGGCAGTGGTGGCAACCACTTAATCATAGCAGAGGCAGGCAGATCCCTCTGAGTTCAAGGCTAGTCTGGTCTACAGAGCTAGTTCCAGGACAGCCAGGCCTGTGACCTGTGAACGTGGGTAACAGTTATGTGATTTGATCTGTTGGGGGTGGGGGGTGGGTGACTGGCAGTTTCACCAGGGCCGATACAAAGGAACTCTGTCTTAACCAAAAAAAAACCAAAAAACAAAATAACAAAAACTATATAATTTTGACAATTATAATTTTTCAATTATAGTTAAAACAGACATATAGCTTGATAACATTGAGACACCTAATTGTTTCTAAGTTTGCAGTAGCAAGTTTTTTTTTTTTTTTTCAAGACAGGGTTTCTCTGTGTAGCTTTGAAGCCTATCCTGGCACCGACTGGCACAGTAATGAGTTTAATGCATGTTTCATTTCTGTTTCTAAAACAGGCAAAACCTTCAACAGTAGAAGTTCTAGAAAATATAGATAAGGTATGTTCATTGACTCTTAAGTATTTTAATTTATTTTAGTAATTTTATATTGGAGTAGAGATATGGGAACTTAAAGAGAGTATAGAGGACTCTTGAAAACTTTAGCATGATCTCAAAAAAAAAAAAGAAAAAAGGAATCTGGTTTCGTAGTGACTTAAGAAGCTTGTATCAAGTAATAGAATATCAAAAAATAGAACCCAATAGAATTCAATTAGAACTAGCATGGTGAGCCAGGCATTGGGGGCGCACGCCTTTAATCCCAGCACTCGGGAGGCAGAGGCAGGCAGATCTCTGAGTTTGAGGCTAGCCTGGTCTACAGAGTGAGTTTCAGGACAGCCTCTAAAACCAAAAAACCACCCCCCCCCAAAAACCTAAAAAAACTAGCATGGTGTAAATCAATGCAACAGATAGCATAATAAAGGTTGCAGGCTACTGCACAACTTTTACCAGTCTGCAACAGTTCTGCACCTTTTTCATTTTTCTCTTATTTAAATAGTGATTTTTTTCCTAGTACTATTGGGAGTAGTGCATAGACTGAAATGATGTAGTTTCAGTCACATTTTTTTGTTTCTGTTTTTGGAGACAGTCTCACTGTATTATTCTGTCTGGCCTAGAACTGTCTATTTAGACCAGGCTGGCCTCAAACTTGGAGAAATCTGCCTGCCTCTGCCTACTGTGTGCCAGGATTAAAGGCGTGTGCCACCGTACCTGGCCCTTCAGTGTTATAATCTTTATTCTTTTTTTTCTTGCCAGATTTTTAAAGACCATATATGGAGAATTATTATTGTTTAACTCACTAAGTATTTGTTGGTATCAGTTTTATTTCTCCTGTCTTTGCTAATTTGATAGATTGAAAATATGTAATATTTCAGTTTAAAAAGTAATTATTTTGGGAAAGGCTTATTAGTTTTTAACTTCATTTTTCATTTTCTTTATGCTTGCTTTGGAATATGTTTGCGTTGGATTTCATTGCATTTTAGGAATCTTATATGATCTTTCTGTCATGTTCTTTCATTTTAATTTTTAAATGATTAGTGAGATTTACTATGTAATACCTCTTTCTTAACAGGAAATTGAAGCATTGGAAGAATTTAGAGAAAAAAATCAGAGATTGCAAAAATTATGGGTTGGAAGACTAATTATCTATTCTTCAGTTCTTTATCTGTTTACATGCTTAATTGTGTACTTGTGGTATCTTCCTGATGAATTTACAGCAAGACTTGCCATGACACTCCCATTTTTTGCTTTTCCTTTTATGTAAGTATTCTTTTTGTTGATCTTTCCCTTTTCTGACCAGATAATTTTAATATATTTATTCTCTTTATATTATAAAATATTAATGTCTCAGATTGAATAAGTTTGGATTATTTTTGCATGTTGATAACTATTTTTTAAAATTGTAGTGCAATTTTTATTCTGTAACCCAAAGGGAGATCACCATTGTTACTGATAATATTTTGTAGTTTTCTGATAGGTGTCTGTGGCTCCTTGTAGGCCAGTGGTTCTCAACCTATGGGTAGTATCAAATGACTCTTTCACAGATACCCTGTATATCAGATATTTACATTATGATTCACTAACAGTAACAAAATTACAGTTATGAAGTAGCAGTGAAAATAATGTTATGGCTTGGGTGTTACCACAACATGAGGAATGGTGTTAAAGGGTCACAGCATTAGGAAAGTTGAGGCTCACTGCTATGGCTATTGGGCATAGTGTATGGTGTATGGAGTATAGTGATGAGTGGGGAGGATTTGTAAAACTGAAATAATGTGTCTAAATGCCTTCAAGTATGTGTCTTTCATTCTAACTCCCCTTTTTAAATTATTGCTCTAAGACAATCATTCCTTTAAGTATAGGTGTATCTTCACTGAGAATTTTGAGAAACAATAAGAAGTCTTTTCATTTAACTAGCAAACATTTATGGATAACAATTGTGTAGACATTAGGTTATAATAGTATATAGTGAACAAAATTGAAAAATCATTGCTATAAATTTTAGGCTATATATTAAGTAATAAATATGTGATGTATGACAGAAAAATACAAAATGCTATGGGAACATTTAACAGGGGCTCTAACCCAGGCTTTGTGTGGGGTCAGGGTTCTAGAAAGAGTCTTGGTTATGTTTTCCATTGTTCTCAAGTTAAGCAGCTTAAAACAATACTCATTCATTATATCAGAGCTCTGAAGTTCAGAAACTCAGGCAGATTAAATGGGTCCTGCTTAGAATCTCATGGCCCTTAGTCTCCAGGGGTCAGACAGCAGTCTATTTGGAGTCTCTGGTGGGAGAAACTACAGATTTAGATGTTGGTCAACTTCTGAATTTCTGATTTACCTGGGTAATCCATGATAATTTCCTACTTAATATCAATAACTTTGATTATATCTGCACAGTCCTTTCATAGCACTTGTCTGTGTTATGTAAACAAAGGCTGCATTGGGAGGAAGGATATCTGTGGAATTGTTTACTCCAGACTCCTGTAAAATTGATGCTTGAATTTGAGACTTGCATAATGGATATGTGTAAGGTGGTGTGTCATGGCAGCAAGAGGAGTTCTAGCTGTGACTGTAGGAACGTGGTCACATTGCATCAGCAGTTAGAGGCAGAGTGAGGTACATGCTAGCTATACTTGCATTTACCTTTTTATTAAGTCTGGGACCCAGCCCAGAGCTTGGGTCTGTCAACATGCAGTGTAGGTTTTCCCATTTTAGATAAGTCTCTCAGACATGTCCAGATGTCTTTCTCGTAAGTGATTCTAAATCCAGCCAAATTGACAAGATTAACAACCACATCATTATAGCCACTGAGAGTGTGGCTCTAATGAATTAGAAGAAAGTAAGAGTGGATCTAGAGTAGGAAGCTAGAAGGATATTGCAGTTGATAAAGAGAAATGGTGAATGGTTTGTGTTGGGTGGGTGGAAGAAGAGCAGACGGATTGAACAAAATTGATGGATTAGAGCTTTAGGAAGTAGAACTGAGAGATTTGATTGGTTGATTGTGGAGTGAAGAGGAGGAATCATTTCAAGGGTAAAATTCAGGTTTATAATTTGGGGTGTTTGGTTGAGAGTATTCATCAAAATAGTGAACAACATGAGTAGAAGCAGGTTTGGTGAACCATTGTATTTTCCTATTGGAGCTGTCAAATGGATGGTTGAGTATGAAAATTACAGCAAAATTCAGTAGAAGATAAAAATTTAGGATTTTGTAGCTTATAAATGTTAAGAAGTCAGACCTGTAGTCCTAGCTACTTGGGAGACTGAGGCAGGAGGATCACAAGGTCAAGGACTGCCTAGACTGAAGGCAGAGGGAGTTGATTCAAGCTGTGCAACCTACTGAGACCCTGTCTCAGAAATAGAACGTACAAAAGGGGGTGGGGAGCTATAGCTTATTGGACGATCATTTGCTAGCATATGTGAAACTCTGGGTTCAGGTCCTAGTAACACACACACACACACACACACACACACACACACACACACACACAAATTGACCAAGCCATCATCTCTTTATAAGTATTAGGCATCTACAGTATGTTAGGTTGTAGTCTAGACCATAGTGATGGGAAGAGTAGTGGTAAGATTCTGCTTTCATGGAACTTGAATTCATCTGTGATTGGCAGATGAAAAATAGAGACAAGTTAACAAAGACATAATTTGAATAGAAATATGTGCAATGAAGGAAGTCAAATAATGTAATTAAAAATAGGTTTCTTGAAGAAGGTCCTGGGAAGCCTTCTTGTAGGAAGTAGTGTTTGAATTGAAGAACAAGTATGGAAAAAGTTGAAATTTGTGAAGACTATATGTAGCATATACTGGTAATACACCTACAAAGTTACATATAAAGAATTATTCCCAAAATATTAGTGTTAATTCTTTCTAATGGTAGGATTTTAAGTAGTTCTTTTGTTCTATGTTTTCTGGTAGTGTTTAATTTTTTTACATCAGTGTATACTTTACATTGTAAAAACAAAATCCAGTAGTAGAGGGATGATGTTTCTAAATTAGAAAACGGAGAATATGTAGACTGTTATACCTTATGTGAGGGGCAGAGATGACGGGCATATTTGGAATGTGTGATGGAGAGAAAGATGTTGTGAAGTGAGCTTAGAGAACGAGACAAGGTCCAAACCATGGAAGATCAGAGCTGGGGTGAGTATTTCATAGCGGGTGAACGGATAGCTCGGCCTCTGAGATGTGCTGCTGGCCTTGCTCTTAGCCTCTTTATTTCCTTCTTTTTAGAAATCTGTTGGATTTTTAAAATTCCAAAATAGATGAGTTTACGATGCTGAGTTCTTTTACATTGTTTCTTTTCTATTTTTCATAAAAAGCAGGGAAAAAAATAAGATTAACATTATGAGATACTTAGTTGATTTAAATATTTTCATAAAATAAGAAAATACTTTTACTTGATATCTAATTCTATAGAGTAGTTGATTTTCTGATTATAAAAGGTAATTTATAAATGTCTGATTGAGAATTCTGTTAATTTGAATTGCTACCCCAAATTGTGCTTTGCTGGATCTGTTACTAAGTCATAACAATTACTTTTAAGACAAATAAATCACTTTATTATAATAATTATAGTAATTATTATTGGTGATACCGGAGGTGGAACCCAGTGCACCAGTGAATTTCTACTGAGCTATATTCTTAATCTGAATCATTTTTAAAGGTAGAAAACTTCATTAAATGTTCAAGGGTACTTAAGTGTCAAATTGACTTAACCTAGAGTCATCGGAGAAGGAAGTCTGACTTGAAGGGTTGTCTAGATCAGATTGTCCTGCGCACATATCTGTGGGAGATTATCTTGATTACTAGTTGATTAGGAAGGCCCAGCCCACTATGGTGGGGTGTCATCCTTAGGCCAGTGGTTCTGAGCTGTGTAAGAAAGCTGCTAATCCTGAGCCTGGGAGCAAGCCAGTAAACAGTTTTCCTCCACAGTTTCTACCTTCAAGTTCTTGTTTGGGTTCCTGCCCTGACTTTCCCAATGATGGATTGTGACATGTTATGTATAAACCAAATAAAGCAGTTCCTGTCTCCAGTTGCTTTTGGTTAGGGTTTTATCAGCTACAGAAAGGAAACTGGAACAGCCACATCTGTCTGTCTGTCTGTCTATCGTCTATATACCTATCTATTGTCCCATTTATTTGTTTATTCATTATTTGTGTGTGTGTGTACATGTATGTGTGTTTGTGCATGTGAGTTTAGGTCAAATGACTACTTATTGGGTGGTGGTTCTCTTCTCCTATGTGGGTCCTGGAGATTGAATGTTCTGCTGTAAGAGCCTTTGCCCACTGAGCTATTTTGCCTGCCTATGAATATTGTGTCCTCTGACTGTTGTGTGTCACTGTACTTAGTGCTTTTTGATTTGATAAGTTGCAGAAACATTTCTCACTTTGTCTCATTCACATTCGTCACTCCATTCTCTACTGTTGTGGCTTCTGTTTCAGTGAACTCTTTACTTTGGGAAGCACAGACAAACTTATCTAACAAAGGATGGATTGTCTTTCCAGTCAGTGACAATAAGCAGGAAGCAAAATACAGGTGTGAAAGTGGACATTGTAGTAAATAAAGACTTATCACCACAGGGTCTTTCATTTGTAGTGTGAGGCATTTCTTAAGCTTAGTTGGACTTTTTTCTTGGGGAACAGTTCTGAGGGCTAGACTAGGATTTACTTCAAGTATTGGAAGCAGAAGGAGCAATAAAATGTATTGCTTTATTCTTCACATTTTGTATCGATTAGACCATTTAGAAATTTGTCTTATATGCCCAAAGTGTGACAGTTATCTCTATTCACATATTTGGAGATGACAATACTGTAGAAGTCAAGGATCAATACAGGGCATTTGCAATCTAGTCTTAGCTGTTCCAAAATTGCCCTTAGTGGTAAAATATCAATGCTCCATTTAAGATGCCTTGAGATTTTACTTCATCCTCACAGGGTTATGTAATACAGATGAACTTTAGATTCCATATTGTTTTCCAGAATTTAGATGTTAAGTGAATATTCATATTGTTTCAATTCTTTTTGAAATTTAAACACTGCTTTTTTAGTGCTGAGGATCAAATCCAAGGCTGTATAAGTACTAAACAAATGCTCTATGACTGGGTATATTCTCAGCATAAGGTTTGACTCCTCTTCCCTTCCTCCACCCAGTGCTAAGGCTCAAACCTCCAGGGCTTCACACATACTCCACAAGTATTCTATTACTGAACCACCCTCTAGCCCTGCTAAATTAAAATCAAAATGCAA